CAGCGATGGGAGTATGGTGGGGCGGTGAGGCCTGCGCGGCAGCATAGCCAGCTGTGGGGAGGATGGAGCAGGTAGTCCCACCGGCGCTTGTTTGAGCGGCTGGAGTAGGAAGAGCAGAGATTGAAGAAGCACGACAACCATTGGATGGACATCCAACAGTCACTGCTTGTGCGTCAACCTATTTTTAGGAAAGCCTCAAATCTATGGAAAACAGCATACATCCCATCTGCCATTATTTCTAATAATTTACAGCCCATTTGCTAATTCTTAAGGTTTTTTTGGAGCCCATATTCTTTTTGTTAGCATTACAGCCCATATTATGGCCACATTTGAAAAATTATACGAAATTTTGCATATTTTAGTGCGGTCCTAACTCTTTTTAATCCCAAAATTTCGAGTCACATTCAAACTGATTTCTGATTTTAAAAATAAATATATATCAATATAAAATCCAACAAATTGTCCACGCATAAAAATCAATGCAATTTAAAATCTCAAAATGAAAAAAAAGAAATTTGAAAGAATTGCCGGTTTGATGTGTTTTAAAAATGTACAACCCATTTCTCATTATTGATAAGCCATTTTCTCGGTCAGCCAAATGAAGCTCTCCTCGTCTTGAAAGATTTGCAGCCCAACAGGCCTGACAAAGCGACTTACTTGGCAAATCACAAAAAAAATCTAGGATGTGGCCGTGGACCCACCTGTCAGCCTCTCCACGTACAGTACTATTTCGATGGAAGTCGGTCGTTGACCACATTGACCACGCCACGCCGAGGGCACCAAGGCGGTGGACGACGGCGAGGCCTAGGAAGGGGCCGACGCAGAGCCGGGGAAGACGCTGCAGTGGATGCCCACGTGGAGAGGAGTATGAGGGTTCACTGGTTCGGCTGCGGCATGAGGCTGTCGTTGCCATAGAATAACAGGGGGTGTGGGTGAGTAGAGGGATGCCCTGGCCAGCGATCGGAGTAGTAGGGGGCGGTGAGGCCTCCCCGGCATCACAGCCGACCACGCAAGGTAGAAGCACGCGGCACGACCGGCGCCGCTTTGGGCGGCTGGAGCAAGAAGACTAGAGGTTGAAGAAACACTATGATGGTTGGATGGACATCGTACGGTCACTGGAGCTAGAATCGTTCATATTGACTAAGTTGACAAAGCCCTCCGTCCCCGTCAACTTAGTAGGCCCACAAGTCAGCCACCCACTATGGTGGGTCCCAGCTAGCAGGGGGTATTCTTTTTTGTGCGTAATATGGAGGCACTTCCTTGCGTGCGAAGATATAGCTGGTGGGTCCGACCTGTTAGCGTGGGGAACATTTTTTTCGCAAAATACAGAAGCCCTTCCCATGTACAGTCCACGTACAGTGTGTAATAAGGAGGAACTTTCCTTGCGTGCAACCATGGACCTCGTGGGTCCTAGTCGTCAGGCTCTCCACGTACAGTCCTCTTCCGATGACTCTCGTATGTTGACCACACCGCGCCGAGCGCACCGAGGCGGTGGACGACGGCGAGGCCCTAGACTGGAACGACCCGAAGATGGGGAAGACGCGGCTGTGGAGTCGCAGACGGAGAGGAGCGGGAAACTTGACTGGTTCGGGTGCGGTGTGGGCCTACACTCGGCAGAGAATAACAGGAGGTGTGGAGTGGAGGGATGGTCTGGCCGCCGGTGCGGTAGCATTTCGCTGAGGAGGGCAAAACAACGCCGCTGGACGCCGGAGGCTGGAGCAGGCGGTCCCGGTAGCGCTGGGGGAAGAAGACGAGAGATTGAAGAATAATGCCGACCGTTGGATGTAAATCCAATGCTTTCTTAGGCTTCGACCTACTGGCCCACATGTCAGCCAGTCCATTTGTTTTTTAGTCTATTTGGTGGGTTGGGTGAAACAATGATGTAGCATCTATGCAGCCTGTTTATATATATGGTAAAATTTAAAGCCCATTTGCATTTTTCTCGAAATCCGCGGACTTGCTGGGCTGGGTGAAAATATCATGTTGGGCTAGACGGAGAAATGTTATAAAAACATAAACACATGATTGCACGTCTATTACTGCATTGATCAGTAAAATCTTTGCAAGCTTATGTATGCAATCACTAGAAGTTAACTTGCCAAGTTATATATAAACAATTATTATTATTTTGTAAGAACTTTCAACTTACGAAATAAAATATTATTTAAATTTGATGAGTTAATAGTACGTGGGGTATTATTTTTTTTCGGCTAGACGTGGGACAGTTGAGTTGGTTCTAGGGAAAAATACTGGGAGAAAACTCAGTTTACATCGAAAAAGAAAGTGGGAGAAAATTCAGATATAGGATTAATGAAAACGAAAAAAATAAAGGAAGTGGGAAGGTCTATAAAATGGTTGGATGAACGACAGGTTTAACGGAAACTTATGCTGTTTCTAATATATATATATATATATATATATATATATATTATCAGAATAACTATTCTGATAACACTTTCGCACTGCATGCTCAACGCGAGGGCACTGCACTTTCTTTAGCAAGAGCACTGCATTACAGAGACTAGTAAACTTCGTGTCGTAAAAAACTGTACGCGGTGTTTTTTCGGTACTGTTTTTGCTCTAGTTTTTAACCGTTTATCGGAACGAGGCGTATGATATACCGCTCGAAAGCTATGGATTAGGTGCAAATTCGCCATATTGAACACATTTCGAGATTTCTCACGGTTTAAGAGCAGTTTTGAAAATGGTGCGGCCCATGACGAGTGACAGCGAGCGTTTTTTCGTGTTTTTTTCTAAACCACTCGTTGGAATGAAGCAAACGATACACCGTTGGATAGATATCATCGAGGCGCATATTTTTCATAACTATTTTTTTCTCTAAATCGTTACGGTTTTAGAGCAGTTTCAAATTTACTAAATCGCGGAATTCTGTTGTTCAAAAAAATTCAAATTTTCGGTACTGTTTTCGCTCCAGTTTTCTAACCATTTGTCGAAACAAGGTGTGTAATATACCGTTGAAAAGCTATGGGCGAGGCGCAACTTTCATATGTTAAAATGTTTTTGAGATTCCTTATGATTTTAAGTTAATTTTGAAAATTGTGCGGCGGACGACTAGTGGCAGCGGCCGTTTTTCGCAAAATTTTTACAAACCGGTTGTCGAAATGATTCAAATGATATGCCGTTGGAAAGATATCGACGAGACGCAACTTTTTCATGTAGAACACTCTCTCTAATTCATTACGGTTTAAGAGCAGTTTTAAATTTACCGAAATGCGGACACTGTTTTTCGCGACACCCAAATCGACGTGGGTACTTCATCCGACTAAAAATCGCACTGCATCGGACGCAAAATCACACTTCATCGGATAAACAAGTGCACTGCATGATTTGTTTTTTATGGGACGTACATTTTCCCAAACGAGGTAGCAAACCGCACTTCTTTAGACTAAAATCTGCACTCCATCACACGGACAAATGCACTGCATGATTTCTTTATTTGTGGGATGTAAATTTTCCCAAACAAGGTAGCAAACCGAACTTCTTTAGACTAAAACCCGCACTTCATCAGACGGACAAGTGCACTGCATGATTTCTTTTTTGTGGGACGTAAATTTCCCAAACGAGATGGAGTGCACTTCATGTAAGCGTTGGTGAAACCGCAATACTATAAAAAGTGAACCTCAAGACTACCGTAAACTCTGTGAATCGCACGAGTTACTACTGACATTTTCATGTAACATTTTTTTGGGACAATGTTTTTCATTAACATGCTTTTGGGGCTGTAGTGATGAGCCATGTGTACTGCATTCTTCTATTTTGCCCTTTTCCGTTTTCTTTGTTTTTCCACTGCACAACGAAGCACCACCTCGTACCCTAGCAAAACTGCATCTGCGCAGCAACTAAACTGCAACTGGACGCATCTTATATGCATCATTTTTTTGCAACCAAAATGTAAGACAACATGCACCAAACTGCAAGCACGCTGCCACTAAACTGCTGGCTACCTCGGCCGCTGGAACTAGACGCCTGCATTACAAATCAAACTGATGCTCTCTACTTGAGAGAGGAGTATGGCGGTGAGGGACAACCGAGAGGGACTGTAGCGCCACGCGTCAGGGTAGAGCTCCACTCCAGCTCGCAGTAGCACCACCACCAGCGGGAAGGAACACCACCACAAGGATTTAGACAATCTCCAAGGGCAAATCCTAGATGCAAAAACAGATTTCTGAGTTGCACTTTTTTAGCACCAAACTGAATTGAACTGTACTGCATCCTGAAAAACAGAAGAAAATGTTTGTAAACAACAACAAACCTGGACAGCATTCGCACAACAAACTGCACGGCGTCACCATCTGTATTGCATGCTGTGGGTGGCCGGGACCTCGCCAAGTTTGATAAAACTTGTTGCTGCAGCCAGGATAATATAGTTGTTACCGACACTAGGATGGAACTGACAATAAAGAATGTTAAAAGCACCAGACACACTCTATATATGTATTGGTTTGTATACTACTCGTACTTGCATATACATTGAGGATTTTAGAGGATAAAAAATGGATCAATGGGAAGCACCCAACACCAAATTCGAATTCCATAGTGACAACACCAAATTGCTAACTAAGAGGTTCAATTGCTATATATAACCTTTCTATAGGGAGTGAGGTGAAATTGGGGGAAATAAATTAACTCCGAGAATGGAGAGGATCAGGCCGTCGTTGGGCTGGAAGCTGCACACACAAACTGTACACCGGCGTCGCGTGGACTGCAAACCGCTTCTTCTTCATCTGGACAACAGGTGGCGGCCGCCGTTGACGAGGAGCACGGGATCTGCAGGTGTCCTCCGTTGCTGCTCGTCGGATCGGCGAGATGCCGGTGATGGAGCGGGTCCAGGGAGCAGCGCCATGTGAGTAGTTGCCGTCGACAGAGAGACGGGATCGAGGGGCTGTTGGCCACTGCCGTCTGGTGCTCTACTGCACTGCATGCCTCCGAGTTTTGGATTGCACGCACGCGCGCCGCACTTCACCTCGGGGAGCACTGCCCTACACATCCACACCCCCGCCCAACTGCCTGGATCGGCCCAGGGTGACGTCGGCTAGCAAAGGGTCCAGGGAGAAGAGCAGACGCTTGAGCCTGGTGGCTGCGGCGCCATGGCCGGTGATGAGGTCAGGGCGCCGCTGGTTGAGGACGTGGCCATGGAGGTAGAGATGAGGGGGGCCGTGGTGGCCGCGAACTACATGACCACACGTCACCGAACCGCATCGCGTGCCCCGACGCACTTCAATTCTGTTGCTGTTGCGGACACGCTTGGTGGCCATGGCTTTGGCCGTTGACCTCGTCGCGTCGATGGCGGTGAAGGGGCGCATGACCTGGGAAGGAGGGAAGGAAGGTGAGATGTGGCGCGGTGGCCATGGTTGTCAGCGGAGGTCGGAGACGACGCGCTAGTCTTCGTCTGGCCATGGACAGAGAGGATGACCCTGGCCGGCGCGGGGGGCAGGCCCCCGCCGAAGTCTTGTTTTAGATTTGTGGCGGAGCCATGGTGGTCCGAGCCACTGGAGGAGGGTAGGCCCCCGTCGGGGTAGGGGCTCGCCGCGGGGTTCCGGCGAGGTCGGGCCTGACGAGCACGGCCACCGGTGGGGGAGGAGGCCATGGAGAAGGTGGTGGGTTGTGGGGCTCCGGCGAGGAAGTAGGGGTGCGGGGCCCCCGGCAGGGAAGAAGGTGGGGGATCGGGGGGTGGCCATGGCCCTGTGTGTCGGTTGTGCGTGGGATTAGA